ACTGATTCTTCAATAGGTCTTAATAGCTACCAGGCTGTGGGGAAGGAACCAAAATTGTGTTCTAAATGCACAGCTTTACCTAATTTATCCAGTCTCATTACTCTTCTCTATCTGCCCCTCTTCACTCTTACCACAATCTACTTTCCTAAAAGAAAAATAAGGTTTTATATTTGTAAAAAGTATTTAAATATATAATCATTTGTGAGACTTCTAAATGGTAGCTGTTCAAGCTTAGCCAGTATGAGAGATTTCTCTCAACTAGAAGTTATCATTTGTTATATCTACTAACGGTTCTGCTACTTTACTTTTGTCAAACTAAAAAATGTGGACAACTCAGGGTACACGTTGTTATGTTTTTAGCACTTTGACTTATTCACATTTAACCTCATGCATTTTCAAGTTGGAAATATTTTTCACTCAGATGGCCTTTTCCCAAATTATTTACTCTGCAAAAAATATGACCAACACAGCACCTGACAAAGTGAGTTCCATTAATTATCCTTTTTTAGGTAGAAAAATCAGTAGCTGAGAGAAAATGAGAATTCAAAACCATGTTGTTTTACTCAGTTAATAGTAATGAGCAAATCCAGGATGTAGTTCCATATTTAAAAAACATAAACAGTTTACAAATAGAGCATATTCTCTAAGACTAAGGTTTACATTGCCCAGTTGCCAGAACCCTTTAGCCTGTGGCCATGTTTGAATCATACACAAAAATGGTCAAAATTTCCACATGATATAGGTTGGCTGTCTTTATCAATAGTGGAATTCGCCCTCGACACAAGGGTTTGTAAAAAAAAAAAAAAAATAAATAAATAAATAGTGGAATTCAACCTTTCTTTCTAAGCTATCTTTTAATCTGACTTATTTAGGGGTTGCCATCCTTTTGCTAGACATTTAAAAAAACAAACCACAATACAAATTTTATTTAGTGATAAAATAATATCTCTGCTGAAAATTAATATGAAATATTTTATTGATTACAGTAGCAAAGAGATTCATGAATTTGGCCTATTAGTAATAGCTGTGGCATCAAGGAAAAAGCTGTTTTGCCTCTGTACAGGGTAAAAAATGATTATGTATGTATTTTATGTATAAAGTATCATATAATTATGTATGTCCCTTTCATTAGGATAAAATCTGCTATGAATATGCATTTTGCCTATTTCGTTCACTGCTGGTTCTCCTGAGCATAAACCAATACCTACCATATAAGTTGAATGAATGACATTACAGTTACATCCCTTTTATTTAATTTACATACAGTAAAAATGCTGACAAAATTCTGAATTTCTACTTAAGTGTTTAAAAATCACAGAGCTCTTATAAAGGTTACGTGAAGGTTTTTTAAAGTGTATATTTAGATAGAAAACCACAGTGGAAGTAAAAATATGTGAAACTGCCTAACCTAGGGCAGGGAATTCAATATTTAAGTAGACTTCAAATCTAAAGAGAGGTTTGAAAAAGGTAGAGGGTTTTCCTACACTATCCTCAAATGGGAGTCCAAGTACTCCACATGTAAAATCATTTGTACACTATTGCTCTTAATGGGGTATTTGCTGGGAAATGGCGGTAGAGACAGCTAACAGATGACGACATTTTTCCCATTAAGATAAGCCTGCCTGCCCTAACCGGTTTGGCTCAGTGAATAGAGCTTTGGTCTGCAGACTGAAGGGTCCCAGCTTCGATTCCAGACAAGGGCATGTACCTTGGTTGCAGCCACACCCCCAGTAGGGGGTGTGCAGGAGGCAGCTAATCGATGTTTCTCTCTCATCTATGTTTTACTATCCCTCTCCCTTCCTCTCTGTAAAAAAATCAATAAAATATATATTTTTAAATAACTTCAAAAAAAGATAAGCCTGCCAGAAAATTATACTTATTATGGTGACCTCCTTAGTCTGAAACACTTTCTCTGCAAGTCCACGGGAATCCTGACTTGGGGCACAGATCAGGGTGGGTGAGGAAAGGAACCTACTGAGGACCTACCGCATATCCAGCTCTACCAAGAAACTCACTTGTTTCCTACTTTAACTTTATAATAATGGTTAACATTCACTGAGTACTTACTTTATTCTAGGCCCTGTTTTAAGCACTTTTCATGGATTAACTCAATAATTCCTCACATCAAATCAATGAGGTATGTGTTTTTGTTACCTCTGATCCACAGAAGAGGACACTCAGGCACAGAGGAGTTAAAAATGCTCAAGAGCTGATCGGCTCGATTTCTGGTTACGGCACTTACCAAGGTTATAGGTTCAATCCCCAGATGGGGCCCAGGTGGGAAGCAACCAACTTATGTTTCTCTCTCTTTCTCTCTCTTCCTCTCTCTCTAAAAAAAAAAAAAAAGTTTTAAAAACTAAATTTAATGTTTTAAGGAACTGCCAAATTGTTTTCTACCAGCAATGTATGAGTGTTTCAATGTCTCCATATCTTCAACAATACTTTTTATTGTCTGTCTTTTTGTTATAGCTATTGTAGTGGGTATAAGGTAGTTTCTCATTGTAGTTTTTTTTTTTTTTTAATCCTCACCTGAGGATATTTTTCATTGATTTTTATAGAGAGTGGAAGAGAGAGGGAAAGACAGAGAAAAATATCAATGTGAGAGAAACACACCAATTGGTTACATCCTGCACGTGACCTGATCAGAGCCCAGGCCAGGAAGAACCTGTAACCCAACCAATATATGTACTCTTCACTGGAATCAAATCCAGGACTTTTTGGTCTGCAGGCCAATGCTCTATCCCTTGAGCCAAACCTGCTAGGTCTATAGTTTTTATTTTATGTCTTTAATGTTGAACATCTTTCCCTGTACTTATTGGCAATTTGCATATATTCTTTGGAGAAATCTCTATTATAATCCTTTTCCCATTTTATTTATTTTATCATTGAGTTTTAATAGTTACTTATATGTTCTGAATAAAGGTCTAATATTAGATATACAATATATTTTTATTTTATAAATATTTTTCCAATTATGTGGATTGTGATTTTACTTTGTTAGTATTGTTTGCAGCACAAAGTTTTTAATTTTGATGTACTTCAATTTGTTTGTTTGTTTGTTTGTTTGTTTGTCACTTGTGCTTTTGGAGTTATAAATAATCACTGCCTGACCCCGTGTCAGGAAGATTTACTACTATGTTTTCTTCTAAGAGTCCTGTAATGTTATCTTCTACATTTTAGTTTATAATCCATTTCAAGTTAATTTTGCATGTGGTATAAGGCAGGGGTCCAACATCATTCTTTTCCATATGGTTTCTCAGTTGTGCCCACATAATTTGTTGAAAAACTATTCTTTCTCCATTTTACCTTGGCATTCTTATAAAAAATTAATTTACCATAAATGTGAGGGTTTATTTCTGTACTCTCAATACTATTCCATTTACTTATGTATCTAACTTTGTGTTTGCATCACAGTCTTGATTACTGTGGTTTTGTAGTAAGTTTTGAACTCGAGAAGTGTGAATCTTCCAACTTTGTTCTTTTTAGAGATTATTTTTTAACTATTCTGGGTTCCTTGCAATTACATATGAATTTCAAGTTTGACTTTTCAAATTATGCAAATAAGCCAGCTAGGATTCTCATAAGGATTGCATTGAATCTATAGATGAATTTTGGGAGTACTGTCGTTTAAACAATGTTGTCTTTTCATCCATAAACATGGGTGTCTTTATACTTATTTAGATTTTTAAAATTTTCTTTGAACCATGTTTTGTAGTTTTCAGAGTACTTGCACTTCTTTTGTTCAATGTGTTCCTGAGTATTTTATTAAGTTGATACCACTGTAAAGGGAAATGCTTTCTTAATTTTTTTAGATTGTTCATTGCTAATGTATAGAAATACATGGGCTTTTATATATCAACCTTATATCATGCAACCTTGCTGAACTCATTTAGGCAGGCAGTATGAGAAGAGCAAGAATATGTCTAGGATTCAGAAGGGATTATTGAGTAAATCAGGACTAGAATAATGTATAGTTACCATGTATTGAGCATGTTTGTGATAGGTTACTGCTTCTCAACCTTTAATATGCATATCAATATCCTGGGAATCTAATTAAAATGCAGACTTTTGTCTGTGGGTTTGGGTGGAGTCTGGGATTATGTCTAACAGCTTCTCAGTAGGTAGCTGGTAGCTTTCACTTACTATTTTAAGCCACACCAACCCTGTAAAATATATATTATTGTTTCCATCCATAATAATAAAAGTGTAATATACTAATTAGATTAACTATCCTTCTGGGCAACCTTCCAGATGAAGCCAGGGCTGTGATGGAAGTCCGGGTCTTGGGTGCCCGAGGGAAACCAGTACCAGCAGCCTGAAGAAGGAAGGCCTACTCATGCACGAATTTCATGCATTGGGCCTCTAGTTTATAGATAAAAAGGAAATCAGAAGTTGAGCAAATAACCAAGTTCATAGACTAAGTGGCAGAACCAGAATTCATACTAATGCCAAAGCTAGGCTCTTTCCACTCCCTCACACTGGATATCTAAAATAGGATATCAGTTGGAATATGAACAACATATGGATCAGGAAAAAAAATTAAGTTTTTCAGGGTCAGCAGAGTTGCCTAGAGTGCATTTGGGTCTAAAGCTTGAGGTTATCTTGATTATGTTGCTAAGAGTGATAGTGTGAGACCAGAATATCAGGTAGAAGGAAGATTATACTAGTAGACAGAGCTCAAGATTAGAGGTGGTACAGAAAGTTATTCACTTCTGATCAGAACAGACTTCAGAACTGGACTCTTTATACTGCTGAGATTTACATTTGTGGTTAAAACTATTGTTGACTCTTCCTGAATTCTAAATTATTTTACTGGGGATAATGAATGATATAGTACCAATGCAATCCCTGAGTGGCCAGGTTAAGGATTTAAGAATGTGGGTAAGGCTCTGGTCAAATGGTTACCTGTGAAGATCTATGGATGGAAGAAAAAATTCCTTTCCAATAGTTTTCAGTAGGATATTAGATTTCCATCGCCTCAGTCAAAACACATGAGATAATTATTTTTGTCCTTAGCACCTTTTATTGAAGTATAACCCTTGATAACAATCTGACAGGCATATCAATGTCAGCCAAGAAGGGAGTGGTGGAGGACACAAATGCAGAAACAATTAAGACTCAGAAAAATAATAGCTTCACATGGGATAGATGACCCCCAACAATTGTACAACAAACACTGATTCTTTATCTATAGAAATTGCCCCCTGCCCCACCCCCCTCTAAAGATCTACTAATCTTCAAAGAATATAATATGCTGTTACAGAAATATCATTGGCATAGATAACTCCTTTGGCAAACACAGAGGGAGTCACCAAGCTGCAGACAGGAGGAAGTGGCCAGAGATGTGCCCAGCTTCCTCCATCTGAAACTTGCTATGGGCAGAGCAGCACCTTTAGGGAGGCTGGCGTTGTGGCTCTAGTGCCCCTGGACAATTTTTTGGCACATGAGGTTAAATGGAAAATAGAACCTGAACCTGGTCTTCAAAGAGGCTTTTCATCTTTTCACCTTCTGTGTACCTCTGCTTCCAGTTTTTCCCTTGCAAGGACTTTCTTTTCAGTGTCTCTGTCTCTTTCTGTTGGATTCCCATTGAGCATTTACTCCTATACCCTGGCCAAGTCTGTAGCTAGTAGGATTCAAGGAGACTTGATTACCCAAGGCTCTGGGAGTGGGGAGTTAGCAGGGACATATTATAGTAGCTCTTGCACTGATTCCTCTCTCTATATCAACCACTGCACTTACCTATTACGCACTGGGGCCTGTATGAGTATTTGAAGGGAGAGGGAAGACTTCAAGACCAATAACACTTTGTGAAAATCCCTTGGCCTACCTTTCAAACTTCTTCCTTCTGGCAGGCCTTTGTGGAGGGTAGAGCCCAGGACATGAGAACAGAGGAGAGACTCAGCATTTGAAGTAATAGGGACAGCTTTATAGCACTATCACTCACAGTGGGACTGCCAAGTTAGCAGTGCTGGGCATTAATTATATTGAGCAATATAATTTGGGGTTTATTTTATTAAGATCTTTGGAAAGCGTCCCTGTGTGTACAAGTGAGCATTCTTTTGCTCTGATTCCAACTCTAAAATACTTTGAGGTGGCATGAGGGGCAATAGTACTTTTAGTGATAAACAAGGTACAACCAATCTATCGCTGACTAGAAAAACTAAGACTGTGGCCATAGTGTCCAGGTGAGTGATTACTCTTTTCTATGGGCCTATATTTCTAAAAATCTGTTCTAGATGTGCACATACAAGCACAAACATGCACACACACACACACACACACACACACACACACACACAAGCATACAATCTTATAATGATGGACTACATTGGCCTCATCTCAATCTTGCTCATTGTTTATTTTAGAGCCTGTGTTTTTAAAAACATGGCAGCCACAGCCTATATTAAAAGCACTCCTTTACCTTCCTCAACCTTGGTTTGGGTAAACTTAGCCCTTTACAAGCCATCAGCCTTCCTGAATAAAGTAGAATTCTCCACTTGGGGGGAGAATGGCAGGTTGACATTTTAACAGTAGTTCTGACAGCAGCAGTATACTAAGAGCGTACTCAGCCCCCTCCCTGCATCCTCCCCCTTCCCAGGACACCCTGCTGGCCAAGATTCTTCTATTGTTTTCAAATACAATGAGGAGGAAACGGAAGTTAGGAACCAGTATTTGTAGCAGCAGCAAAATTCCTTTGTAAATTCTTTTGGTCAATTGAGGCACTCCTGCTGCTACAGTTAACCTCCAAAGACAGTGAGAAACTCAGCAATGACTAGAACAGATGTCAGGGATGCTGGGCAAGGCTGGGCAACACCAAGCATGGGCCCCTTAGCAAGGAATAGGGAACTAAGCTGTATAACAGGACAATTTGGCCACAACTACCTTCCTGCCTTCACCTGAAGGCTTTCCCAGGACAGAAACTGGCTACCAGCACCAGGAACTAGGCAGAAGCAGCAGCATCAGTTGTTTGTCTGCCTCAGATCCTGGCTGGTTCATAATTTGTGCTGGGGGCTGGCCCTGACTAGAGCTTTCTGCTACCATGAATTTTGGTTCCCTGAGCCAGACCACAGGCTGAGAAAGCAATTAGGTGGAGGAGTACCTCCTGAGCTTATCTCTCCCCTTTTCCTTAGCTTAAAGACTTGGGGAAATAGATGGACCTTGGTCAGTTTCAGATTTCTTTGGTTTCAAGAAAAAATTGGACCCTGTTGGAAAATGCTAAACTCATGGTGATCCATACTTCAATGGAAGTATAGGACTAGGCCACACTGGAGAAGCTCTGAGTTCAAGGCGAGAACTTTCTTAAATACTTGTCAGCTATGGTGGGAATAATTCAAAGCCTTGACACCAGTTACCTATCCATGGTGAATTCAGGCTGATCTACAGAAAATGTTTTCCTTCTGGGCTAACTTTTCCCTTTCTAACTCCCCTTTTCTCACCTTATTAGTTAAAAAAGAAGAAAAAAAAACAATAAAAATAAATAAAGTCAAAAGGACATTTAAAATATAACAATAAGAACCCCTTCCCCCCAGTAATGAAACATGTATGCAGAAGTCAGCTTCAGCAGAGCTATTCATGGCCCATAGTGTGAAGCCCTTAGGGTAGCCACCTGTAACTCCAGCAATACAAAGGCAAGATGAAACAGGAAGTGGTAGGTCCAAAGTCTTAGGACAGGAAAAGGGCCACACTACCCAGGGCTGATAGTGGGCCTTTTCCCCTTTAAGAAGATGCTGGGAAAGGTGGGGATGGGACCAATTTCATTAAGCCTAAGTATCTGGGAATTCATTAAGCAGAGCATTTGGAAACCCCAAATCCTTTGCTCACATTCTGTTAAGTAAAATTCCTCCTTCTTTGCTTCCCACTGCAAAGCTTGAGTGAAGCCCTGAAATTCCAGTAGGTAATTGCCCTCAAGACAGTCAAATTTCTGTGGGAAATGACTGGGCCTTAAGCCTTGGCTGATTATGATGTGGGTGGGCAGTGAGTGCATGATGTCTCTAATATCCTACTACAAAGAAGAATGAAGGCACTTCGTTGGTTCTGTGTGTGCTAAGTGCTTGCTGTGCAAACTGTGGGAAAGAGTGTGGTTGTATGATCACACTCTGCTACAGTTTCTAATTCTTGCTTCTACTTTCTAGGGTAGAAGTTTGGGGTCTCCCCAGAGTGTCCTAGCTGGTTGGGCACAAAGCTTGGTAAGGGGCAGTGAGAGATATCCAGGGTAGAGGATATGGAACAAACTGCTAACTATCTGCTATGTATTTGCTAACGAACTGCTAACAAAGATTGAAAGCACTTCCCATTGTGTCTGGGCAGTGATGATGTGGGCAGTTTGCTGGTGGAATTAGAAATTGCTAGGCCCCAGGAGTAGGCTCTCCCTGAGACATTTGAGCTGTTCTTCCCCAAGCTTGATCTTCTCTTCTAGCTCTCGCTGTTCAATGATGAGAGCAGATTTCATCTTCACAAAGTGCTGGTAATCTTGGAGCTGGTCCTGCGGCAGGTAGCGGGAGACCATGCCAAACACCAGCTTCTCCCTCCGGTCCATGTGCTCCTTCAGCTCCTTGGCATCTGCCAACTGCCCTGTCAGCTGCTGCTTCTTCTCCATCAGCACCAACTGGGGAAATAGAAAACCAATTAAGAGTCATTTCAATTACCAGTCATCAGCCTAACCCATTGCTCCACCGGGCATGCTGCCACAAAGCAACTACGCATTCTGCTAACTGATCGATCATAGATTTCCTGCCCTGATGTCCACCTTCATGCAAAAGCTTTTCCTTCCTGTCGCAGGGGGAGAATATACACGAAAGTGATTCTGGCCAGGGGAATATGCACTTCCCTTTTTCCATCTCTAGACTATCTTTAATTAGTGGACTATCACTGAGGTAGGTGTGAGGGAAGGCTCTGACAAAGCTAGCTCAGGCCCCTTTCTATCTAGTGAACAACCACCACTGAAAGAATGCTTTTAAAATGGTATCTGTCTCTGCGTGGGTATATATGTGTAGCCATGTGTGTAGATACATGCCTATGTGCCTCTTATTGTAAAATCAAATTTTTATCTAACACCACTTGCATAGGGAAAGTCAATGCAGTTTGGGTTCATGAATGTATGCAACTTGTGGAACTGACAGCCTCCCAATCTCAAATACTTGCCCTTTGAGAGAGAGAGAGAGAGAGAGAGAGAGAGAGAGAGAGAGAGAGAGAGAGAGAGAGAGAGAGATTGCTGCTGCTACTATTACTACTGACAGTATTGATTTAGTGTTTACCCTGTTCCAGGCCCTGTTTTAAGACATTAACATGAATTATATAATTTAATTTTCAAACCTTATATAGTAGGGGCGTGTGTTCATCCCATTTTTAAGAGATTGAGACAAAGTGAGGTTAAGTAAGTTGCCTACAAGTCACACCGCTAATTAGGGGTAGAGCCAGAATTTCAAGGCACTTAAAAGCCAGTGCTCACACGCATAACAATATGCTCTACTCCCTCCCAGACTACCCAAACTTGAAAGAGGAAGCCCCAAGAAGACACATATGGCATTTCCCTCCATCCACACCCAAGAGACTCCAACTCTACCTTCTCCTGGTCAGCTTCTGAATCAATGCTGTTGAGAGCATTTTCTACCCGGGCAAGTCTTCCAGAGAGTGACAGCAACAGGTTGACCACTTTATCCAGGTCCCCAATAAACAAACAGTATTTTTCAAACTCATTGGACTTGCAGACAGCTTTTAGGTTGGCCTCCACCTCTTCCCCAAGGGCAGAATTGGCATTGATGTCCTCCAGCAATCCTCGCTGGGCCTCCCGTAAGACAGAAAGTTTTCTGCCAATGCTTTCAATAAGCTGTATCTAGGAGAAACAAAGAGAAGAAAGCAAAAGATGGGGACAGGAACTGTCAGAAACTGATATGTTCTTGTAACCTATGTTTTTGGATCCAAGTAACAGATGGTGAGCTCTACCCTAGTCACTGCAAGCAAAAGAAACCTGAGCAAGCCACATGAGCATTTCCTGTTTTCAGGACAGTCTTATCTCCCATCTCTTATTGATAGAATCTGGGAGGAATCTCTGTCACTATGAAATGTCTTGGCATTAGACAAGTGATACCCATGGGCTAATACCAAATGTAGTTTCATAAATACTTGCTGAAAAAATGAAACTAGACTACCTTCTTATATCATACACAAGAATAAATTCAAAATAGATTAAAGACAAAATTTAAGACTCAAAACCTTAAAAATATTAGAGAAAACATCGCAGTAAAATCTCACACATTTCTTATAGCAATATTTTTTCTGGTATATCGCTCTGGGCAATGGATAAAAAGAAAAATAAACAAATGAGACTACATCAAACTAAAAATGTTTTGCACAGTAAAGGATACCATCAAAAAATAAAGAAAACCCACTGAATGAAAGAATATATTCGTCAATATACCTGATAAGAGGTTAATATCCAAAATTTATAAAGAACTCAGACAACTCAACACCAAAAAAAAAAAAAAACAACCACACACAAACAAACAAACAATCCAGCCCACCAGTTGAGCAGCAAGTGACCTGTGAAACAGATCATGGTTTGATTCCCAGTCAGGTTACATGCCTGGGTTGCAGGCTCCATCCCCAATATGGTGCAGCCATTCAATGATTCTTTATCATCATTGATCAGATCTTTCTCTCTCCTTCTCCCTTCCTCTCTGAAATAAAAAACTAGAGGCCCAGTACATGAATTCGTGCATGGGCAGGGTTCCTCAGCCTGACCTGCAATTGTGGCTGATCGGGGCCAGCCAGCTGTGGGGAGGGACTGTGGGAGGTTGGCTGTGGGAGTGCACTGACTACCAGGGGGCAGCTCCCATGTTAAGGGTCTACCCCCTGGTGGTCAGTGCATGTTATAGCAACTGATCTACTGCCTACCCCCTGGTGGTCAGTGCATGTCATAGCAAGCAGTTGAGTGGCCTTAGCATATTATTAGCATATTATGCTTTGATTGGTTGAATGGCCGACCAGTCGATAGGACACTTAGCATATTAGGCTTTCATTATATAACTAGAGGCCCAGTACATGAAACTCATGCACTTGGGGGGTGGGGGGGTGTCTCAGCCTAGCCTGCACCTTCTGGCAGTCCAGGAGCTCTCATGGGATGTCCTGGAGGCAGGAGGGGCTCCTGTCACTGTTGCTGCCCTCGCCAGCTGTGAGAATGGCCTCTGGCTGAGTGGTGCTCCCCTTGTGGGAGCTCACTGACCACCAGGGGGGCAGCTCCTGCATTGAGCGTCTGCCCCCTGGTGGTCAGTGCATGTCAGAGCAACCCATTGTTCCACCATTTGGTTGATTTGCATATTAGCCTTTTATTATATAGGATTAGCTGGGTATTACTAATATTGCTATCTGAGTTTGAATCCCAGTTCTGCCACTAAGTAGCAGAGTGACCTTGAGCAAATAACCACTCTGGGCTTCAATTTTACCATCTGAAAATAGGGTAACAATACTACTTATCTCAAATGCTGTTATGATAATTAAATGAGTTAGTATATGTTATGTGCTTAGAACAGTATCTTGTATATAAGAAATATGCTTTGATGTTTGTTTTATTATTCCTTCCCAGGAATAGTTTTCTAGATTGTGTTCTTTTCTAGTGCTTTATTTAGAGATATCCAAGGTGACCAAGACCAAAAGACCCTGCTCTGGGTTCAGAATCTGTTGTCATATTTCAGAACTGGCCAATATTCAGGAGATCACCATGATCTTAGTCTGAAGTATAATAGGTTTAATTTAGGAAAAAATCCAAAATCCACTGGCAATGAGGGCTCAATGATATGAATGAGGCAACAGAATTAGATGTCAAGAGGCTCCCAGATATTTCTTATCTTCTTTTCTACAAAATAAAACTCAATGCCAGAGATAAAGTAGGGCTGGGGGCCAAATGATCAACCTGGAAAATCAACTACCCAACTCAGTTCTTAGGTTCCATAGGTCTGCCAGGATAAAAGTGGAGACAACCCTTTCTTTCTTGGCATTTGGGCTTTGCAACCTGAACTTCAACCCTGGGGAAAGTGCAGTAGATAGAATTATGGAGTCATCTCAGACCTAGCTAGAACTAAGCTGCTTTTCTGGGATACCACAAATTAGTATCATTTCTCACCATCTTCCCCAGAGACAAAAACTGTTCCAGCCCACCAACAAATCACTATCTGCTATGTCTATGCGTCACCATTTCTGATCATTTCTCTCTTCTTCTGGTTAGAATATTATTAGGTTTTCTCCTAATGAGAAGTCCTAAGTAAGGCAGGAGAAGCCTGCCATGATCAGTGAACATGGAATACAAGGAAAGAGGCATCTAGATCATGAAATCTTTGATACTATCATGCTTTTAATTCCTTCTCTGACATTTTGTTTCAGATTGGAAAGTGGTGGTGGGGACTTTTGTAAATAGCCTTGAGCTTTCCTACAGGTCATATCTTGAATGAGAAACATAGGCCGATGACTAATTTACATTGAGTTCAGATGTCCACAAGTGGTAAATTGGGCCTTTCAGGTTGTCATGGAAACCCAATTGTTTATGAAATAAAATGGGTAAGTGCAGAGAGGGCAAAGTGATTCCAGGAATTTGATTAGACAACCAGGCTAGTGGTACTTAGAGGAAGAAAGGGGAGGCTTTGCAATAGCAACAACATTTCCATTTATCTGTTTAATATTTTAAGAGATTACTGATTACTTTTAAAAATAAACACTATAGTTTACCAGCTTATAATTTCTCCTTTTTAGGTGCCTCGTTAGCGCAGTAGGTAGCGCTCAGTCTCATAGTTAGTCTGTTCTCTGTCCCAGAATGTTACACAGATAATACAATCAATGATTACCACCGGTTAGAGTTCACTGGCCAAAACTCTGATGTGCCCTGGGCAATGTGTTACTTAACAAGGCTGGCTTGCCCTGGTCAGTGTTGCTCAGTGGTAGTATCAGCCCACACACTGAAGGGTCATGGGTTCGATTCCAGGTCAAGGGCATGTACCTGGGTTACAGGTTCCTTCCCTGGCCCTGGTCAGGGTGTGTATGAAAGGCAACTAACTGATGTGTCTCTCTCACCTCTCTCTCCCCTTCCTGCTTACCCCTCCTTTCCTTTCTCCTCCCCCTCCTCCCCCTCCTCCTCTATACCCCTCCCTCCCTTACATTCTCTCTGAAAAAACAATAAAAACAATGGGAAAAAATGTTCTCAGGTGAGGATTAACCAAAAAGAAAAACAAACAAACAAGGCTGGCTTATTTCGGAGGCACAGCCCAAAAGAAAGACAGTCTTGTCTTCAAGTCCTGAATCTACCACCTAGTCTATAACCCTGGGCAACTTAGTCCTCTCAATTGTCAAAAAGGGTATAGTAATGTCTACCTTGTAGAGCTGTTTTAAAGATTAGACATTGCAGTGATGACTATGATTGCTACTACCATAATTACTATTATTGACCAGATCAAGAAGAGACTGGAGTTGCATTTATGAGAAACCCAGAGAGGCTATTTGATTTTCAGACTGAAAACATAGGAATGCACCAAGATGTTCTAAAGAGCTTAGAGGGCAGGGCAATCTCTAGACTCACTCAAGCTAAAATTTCTAAGGTATATATATAAAAAAAATTCACCTTTTTTTGAGCCAGTTCATTGTCTACTTCCTCCTCTCCTAGGCCAATCTCTGCCATTTCGGGTTGGTCCTTCAACTTGTTCAACAGCTCTGCCTTGGCCACAGAAATATTGTAATAAGCTGAGTAAGAGGTAGAAATCCCTGGGGCCCCTTGAGGAGGCGAGAAGTGCTGAAATTCTTGCCTGTGGGAACAAAGGGTGACCATTTGAACACCTCTGTGGGAGAGGCTGCTGACCTTTTTCCTTCTTAAGTTTCCCTATTTGTAATACAGTGGGATCCTGCTTTGCCAAGGAGTTTGTAAAATAAGAAAATAATGGACCAGGTGGCACTATTCAAATATAAACAGACCACATAAAGGCCATCTAGGATTCAAGACCAATTTTAAGAACTTAAAAGGCTATTTCCTTGTCCCTAACTTCTGAAGCTACAGGGACTTCCTTAGAAATAATTTGGTTTGGTCATTGTCAACCCAGTAAAATCCAGAAAAACTGACAGGACCTTAAAGTCCTGGGCTTATCATCAATTATTCCCCTTGGTTCATGGCCCCAGTATATGAACCCTAAGGGAGTGTCTAGGTGGTAGGGATGTATCTGAGACCTTAGCTATTTGTCTTCTCAGCCTGTTGGCATCCCTCCTACCCATCCTAGACATTGCCCACCCCCAGCTCTATCTAGTCTACTTGCTTACAAAGGCACCCTGTGGCTTTCCTGGACATTCCGATAATTTCTTCTTTCCTGATGGTACAACTTCTGCTTGAGATGGCCCCTCCACTGCAGATCTCCCACAGCAAAGAGGTCACCCATGACCTCAGCAGTGGTCACCATGTTGGAGGCTGGGGTTAGCACCCCTGCCAGGGACTTGTCACGGCCCACCACATCTCTCATGAGCTCTTCTGAGATTGCCTGCTGTAGAGCAGGCCTTCTGCCTGAGAAGGAATAGCATCTCGCCACTTCTGGTGTATCCCCAATGGCCCCAGCCTCCTCCATAGTTGCAGAATAATATGGGGGGGAAATGAAACCAGTGGCACCCTGGGGCTTGACAAGTGTAGCAGCAGACCCTGTTGTCTTGAGTTCACTGAAGCCCACGGGACTGAGGTGCTGCTTCTCAGAGCGCCAGCCCATGAGGGACAACTGCTCTTCAGGAAACAAGTAGCTCTGGCTCCATGCTGGCTTGGGTTTGGAGTCTTCTGCCATCAAGGATTCTGGTCTGGCATGAGGGAAAAAAGGGGGGAAAAAAGTTGGGCTTCAGGCACAGATGAGCAAATAATTTCACCCATGATTTATGCAAGGGAGAGGCCCACCCCCTCTATATTCTTGTTGCCTACCAGCCACCCCCACCCTCCACCTGTCTGTGTCGTTGCCCCTCTGCTAACCTTTAGCTGTTTGAAAGGAAAAATAGGAAAAACTCATTAGTCATTTTTGCAGCTATTTGCAGCTCTTAAATAAAGGTCAAAAATAATGGTTAAAATGCTCCACAGCTTTTTACTGATTCATGTTATGCTGTCTCCTAATTCATCACACAAAAGAAATTTGAGCATGCCAGCATTCCTCGTCCTAGGTATTCATTTACATGTAGGTTTTTAAGCTAATAACACTGATAAAGGAACACTACTTGCTAATATCACACGGGGCTTACTATGTCCCAGAAACTGTCCCAAGCTGGCTGTGTATGTGTGTGTGTGTGGGGGGGGGTGAGGGGGGACATGTAGATACAGATATAAAATTCAATGCTCATGACAACCATTTTACAGATAAGGAACATGAGGCATTGAAAGGTAAAGTAACTTACCCAAGGTCACCAGACAGTAAACGACAGTCCCATAATTTATATCTAGGCGATTTAACTCCAGAATCAATACTTTTTTAAAATAAAGAATATATTTTTATCAATTTTTTAGAGGGAGAGAGAAAAACACACACATCGATGTAACATTTATTGGCTCCAGGGATTGAACCCACAACCTGGGTATGTGCCTTGAGCAGGAATCCAACCAGTGACCTTTTGGTGCCCGGAACAGTACTCAACCATCTGAGCTACTCTGGTCAGGGCCAGTATCTGTGCTTTTAGCCACTATGCTATACTTCCAAGGATGCAACTTGACAGCATATAAAACCTGCATGTAAAAAATTTTCTGGCTGAACAATATCTCTGTTAGCAGAGAAAATAGAACATTCTAAAGGGCATATAAATGTATAGGATAGGGAATTCTTATGTATAAAAAATACTCAGGGCATATATGAGTGTTCTGAGCCAGAACGTGCTGCAGGAAAGTATGGAATATTTTTTAAAGGATGTGGCTCTATGTCAATAAAATGAAAAAAAAATAAAAATAAGTTTTAAAGCCACTTTCTTCTGGTGAGAACTCTGCAGTCTGATGATCTGGAATAGGTTCTTCTTGATCAGTCTAGAGATCTTGGGATGATGTAATGGCCACAGTAAGCCAGACTACTTGAGTTCTGGCTACCTGTGGTATTCTGCAAGTTACTTTATCTCTCTGTGCCTCACTTTTGTCATCTAAAAAATGCAGGAGAGTAATGGTATTTACTATAGGTGTGTTGTGAAGATTAAACCAATCAATACATGAACGTTTTTAGCTTGGCACATGGTAAGCAAGCAAAAAAAAATTAGTTATGTTGGGAGTGATGCTGTTCTTAAATCGCTATCACTCAAAGAAGCATCTATAATTGACTTTCTGTAGCCACAAGCCAGGGTTGTATGCAAACAAATGCTTTCCCTTGCATCCCATAGTCATTTAAAAAGATCTCTGGAACACCTTACAAAAATCTCTAATAATAGCAATTTCCTCCTCTATCCAAGGTGCCAAGGTGAATGGAAGTAATAAAGGAAAAAGAACTAGCAGAGGGACAAAGGTACTGTAACTGCCCTACAGGAGACAGGGGGGCCTCATAAAGGTCTGGTCTACCAAAAGAACAAGATGTGAGACTAGGATAGTGAAAGAAGCATGGATTTGGGAGGCAGACAAATCTGGTTTTGAGTTTTTGCTGCACAATTCTGTCTTATTTAGTCCTTTATTTTGCTCAGCTTTAGTTTTCTCATCTGTCAAATGGGAATAATAATGAGGCTTAGGGCTGTTGGGAGGTTTAAATGAAATGATGAATATAAAATGACTTAGCAATGCCTGGCACACAGCAGACATTCATTCATTCATTTCTTTATTCTTTCCTGTGAATATTAAGTGGTAGGTCACCTCTCCTTCCCCTTGATAGGTAAAAATCACAGTCATTTTCCACAAAATGTTTTCCGATTATAAGAATGCTCTCCAACTAGACGAACAGCTTGAGAAGCAGCCACTAGGGAACTAATAAGAGATTCTCTCAGTGTCTGGGAGCCAGGCCCTATAAGTGCTGTGATTGTGGCACTTCCGGCTAGAAAACCTTGACTAGCTCCAGATAGCCAGGTAATGGATCTGCCTGTCAGTAAAAGACATGATAATAAGATACTTCTAATAGTAACAAGTCTCAGGCAGATTCCTTCTGTAAAGAGATTTAATAAAGCACTTAGAGGAAAGACACTTGCCCCCACCCCCATCTTCACTCCCAGAAGAGAGTGAGCTGATCTCTCTGTGGGAGGCCTGGCAGAGCTAAAAGCCAAAGCTCTTTTGCTTTGGAGCAAAGAGGACAACCACACAGTGTAGTGCATGCATATGAGCATTGGCACAGTGAAGGGAACAGACACTAGCAGTCCAGTGGCCAGGAAGGTCTTAGGCTTCTTGCCCAGGCAGCTCATCCTGTCAACTACACGTATTACTCGATGAAGAAAATGCAGAGAGAGGTGAAAGTGGAAGATGAAAAGAATGTTCTTAGCTATTGTAAAGAATGATCCTGGCATAAAGCATGCAACCCCAGTAACACCTTTGATGTTGGGTGTTAGGAAGAGTTTAGAAGCCCAGGTAGGTCGTAGAACAAAGGCAAATCAGGTTTCAACCTGGCCTCTTGTTCTGAAAAGCAAGCATAAGACAAGACAGAAGAGGGCAGGAGGCAGGCTTCTAGGAAAAGCCTTGTACAGGGAATAAGGGTTTAATGCTTTCTGTCTCAGGGGCCAGAAACTGATGCATCCCTGAAAGACAAATTGGGAAATAATATATTTTGATAGTGGTATTTAGGGATAAGAACATGAACAACTACAATTTGCTGAGCACCTGCTATGTGATAGAATAACTTCATATTCATAACAACTGTGTGGAATAGGTATCAATCATGCCTATTTTTCAGTGAGAAAACTGAGGCTGGGAACAGTTCAAGGTCATGCAGCTGATACACTGTAAAGGTAGAATTCAAATGCATGCTGCCTGAGTCTGCGGGGTTCTAATATCTTTCATAAGCACTTACTTGGAGGGATCAGTGGTCCCCTGTTCCGATGTCCTCCAAAGTCCACCAATGCCATAATAGCAAGGGGGCTGAGCCTTCTCCGGCTGAGATCCCAAGCGGCCCCTCATTGGAGGCATGCAATCGCTGGAATGGCGAGTAAAAGACTCTTGCTCTCCTGGGAGGCTTGGTGGACCCTGCCTTGAGACCTCCAGGTGACCAAAGCCCAGGGGTTGTGGCTGCTCCAGGACTTCCTCAGTATTGAGAGCACAGGAACCAGCGGTTTCTGAACTGAAATACTGGGGTGGCAACTCCTCCTCCTCTCCTCCCTCCTCCTCTTCCTCCTCATCTTCTTCTACCCCCTCCTCCTCTTCTTCCTCCTCCTCCTCCTCTTCCTCTTGCTGCTGCTGCTGCTTCTGCTGTTGTTGCTGCTGCTGGGCTGCACGGAAGAGCCTGTACTTCTCCCAGTTGGGAGGAGGAGGACGAGGAGGAGGAAAGGCCTTCTTTCTGGTTCCCAAAGGATCTAGCTGGGTTTCACCAACTTTGGTAAAGAGCTCCCTCCTAGGCTGCCCCCAGGCCCGGGAGCTCTGGGGATCCAAGCTGATATGGCTCTCTGAGAAGGCACGGCTGCGCAGTGGGTGGGGCATGGAGGCCATGGAGCTCTCCTCCTCATAAACAGAAGTTTCCTCTGTTTTTTTCGAGGAATGCTTGAAATCTCCAAGGAGGTCAAGAGAAGAGATTGCTCGGTAGCTTGATAAGTCCAATGCTGGGTTCTCAAGGCAAGGATGGAAGGGGGTTGCCCATGAAAAGTCAGCCTTGGAATGAGCCATTTCCCTGCAAAAGAGCAGATGGGGATTGTGTAAAATAAGCAGGTTGCAGATGATCCCATATTTTCAAAAAATATGTTTTTATTGAGGTTTGTTTTTTTGTTTTTTTGAGAGCAAAGAAGGGAGAGGGATAGAGATATGGAAACATCAATGAGAGACAAACATTGATTGGCTGCCTCCTGCACATTTCCTACTGGGGATCGAACCCAAACCCGAGGCATGTGCCCTGACTGGGAATCGAACCAGGGACCATTTGGTTCATGGGTTGATGCTCAACCACTGAGCCACACCAGTTAGGTTGATCCCATATTTTTGATGACATCACTTATGTAAAATTTAAAGTGGCCACAAAACAATGTAATCTGTTGTAAATGTGATAATAATATATATTATTGATAGCTAACACTGTGTAGGTACTAAATACCAAGCATTGTTTTAAGTGTTTTCCATGTCTTATCATATTTAATCCTCATAACTATAGGAAGTTATTATTATTATCCTGATTTTATAGCTGGGGAAACTGAGGCAAGGGAAGGATAAGTAACTTGCTTGGGGCCATAAAGCTAGTAAGTGGCAGAGCTAGAGTTTGAACCTGAACAATCTACCTCCAAAGACTGAATATACACACCACCTCAGTCTGTTTGTAGCCCTCAGATTAGAGGACTATATCCTTAGGCTTACAAATCTGGTTATCTTGCTTCATCTGCTGCTCTCTCTCTTTTTTTTTTTTTTTACTATGAAAATTTAAAATATTTACAAATATACAGAGATTGCTAAAATAAATATTCATGTTCCCAATACTGCTCAGACATCTTAATACTGTGCCATTCATTGATGCTTCATGAATTTATTTTTAAGAAATAAGAAAAGCCTGTCCCAGTTTTGCTCAGTGGATAGAGCATCAGCCCACAGACTGAAGGGTCAAGGGCATGTACCTTGGTTGCAGACTTGATCCCTGGCCCCAGGCTGGGGCATGTGTGGGAAGCAACCAATTGATGTGTCACTCTCACATTGATGTTTCTCTCTGTCCCCATCCCGTCCACTCTTTCTAAAAGTCAATGGGAAAATATGGTGTGGATTAACAAACAAAAAAAAAAAAAAAAGAAAGAAAAAATACCCTTGTTTTACTCCCCACTTCCATTAACCTATTGCTTCTCCAGATGCAAGCTATAGCGTGAATTTGACATGTATATTTTCTGTCCATGTTATTATACTCATAAGAAAAAACATCAAGTATGGCATTTGCAAATATCTGCTATTTTGGATTTAAAATATCTCCTTCCAGTGCAATTCCAGTCAGAATTCTCAATAGGAATTTTTAACAATAGAAATTTTTAATAGCTTGTAAAATAAAGCAGGATATCACATTAAAGAGTATTTGCTATGGAAGAAAATGGGGGGTGAGTAAGGGATTAAGCATATTATAAAGAACTTATAGTGAAAACAGTGTGTTACTGATTATAGGAACAGATTGGAAAGTTCAAAATCAACACTAATAAAAGTAAAAGATGCAAATTGACCATACCTTCGCTATGTCCACCAGCCAGTCAGGTGTATGCAAATTAACCCAACAAAGATGGTGGGTTAATTTGCATATGCAGGCATGGATGGGCTGGGGGTGGGGCAGGACGCTTGCATCATCACCATGGTGATGACACAGGTATTCTGCACTGTCCCAGCCACTCTGGGCAGCATGGGAAGGCAGAACTGGAGTGGAAAGGCAGTGTTGGCAGCCAGGGAAAGGAAGGCTCATTCCTGCATAATTCTTCATACATTGGGCTTCTAATATTATATATAATTGGCCTTCCATAACAAGGAGATAAAGATCATTTAATAGCTGAGACCGGTTTGGCTCAATGGATAGAGCATCGGCTTGGGGACTGAAGGGTCCCGGGTTCGATTCCAGTCAAGGGCATGTACCTTGTTTGCGGGCATATCCCCAGTAGGGGGTGTGCAAGAGGCAGCTGATTGATGACTTTCTCTCATCGATGTTTCTAACTCTCTGTCTCTCTCTCTTTCTCTCAGTACAAAATTAATAAAATATATATTTTTTAAAAAAAGATCATTTAATAAATCTTTCTTGAGATAACTGCAGAGCAGTATTATTTGGAGCTATACCATGCATTACATATCAAAATAAGTTCCAGATTCACAAATTAAGGGTGTATGTGTACAGAATTTTAATATATGTTATATGCCTATGTATGTACTATCAAAATTAAGAAGACTATTGTAAGGAGAAATGAGATGCTCACATTATAAGTAATAGAAAAAATATCCAAGGTAAATGAGTTCAGGTTTATTTAAATACTAGAGGCACGGAGCACAAAATTCGTGTACTGCTGGGAGGGGGTTCCCTCAGCCCAGCCTGTGCCCTCTTGCAGTCCTGGAGCCCTTAGGGGATGTCCAACTACAGCTTAGGCATGCTCCCTGCAGCCAGATATCCTTAGTGCTGCTGTGGAGGAAAGCGAGGCTCCTGCCACTGCCATTGCATTCGCCAGCCTGAACCCTGTGGAAGCACACTGACCAGAGGGGGCAGGTCCGGCATTGAGCGTCTGCTCCCTGGTGGTCAGTGCACATCATAGGACCAGTCGTTCCACCATTCAGTCAATTTGCATATTTGCCTTTTATTATATGGGATATATAAATATATAAAGTCAAACTTCTATGTAATAGTCACCGAAGTCATCTATTTAGCTTTATAGTATAAAGGGTTAAGTTTGCTAAACCAAAAGATCTGGTTTTCTACTGTAGACTGTAAGCAATAAGCAACATTCTAAGTACTGCCTAGTGACAGGAAATTTCAGAAGTTCAATAAAATCATCAGACATAGTCATAATGAAGACCAAGAATATCTCTTTAATAATATTCATAATGGTATGCAAGCTCAGGTAGAATGGAAAGCAAAATATCCTTCATTCCTCTTATCTCCAGTCCCCATCCTGTGGCTAATTCATCACTCATATGGATCAAAAGTTCATATCCATACATCACATTCCCTATTCTCTTCTCATTTAGGCCTTAGCCCACCTAGAGCTCCTTTATTTTTTTCTTCATGTTTTATTACCTAGATCTCCTTTAGATTAAAATAATCTCTTGTGTGCAAACTCTTCCACCTGGCATTTTCCCCTCATGAAACAAACAAAAAACCAAGGTTGAATGGAAAGTAAAAAGATGACAAATGCCATCAGGTAGAGAGGACTATCCTGAACACTTATCTAAAATGACTTATCCTTACTTTTCCTTTTTTTATTTTGTTCTTTCTTAGAGAATACATCACCACCAGATATTACTAGTATGTCACATACCTATTTTTACTTATTTTGAGTGCCACCCTCTAATTATAATGTAAGCTCCACATCGACAGTGATCTTGTATGTCTCATTCATCTGATGTCTAGTGCCTGGCATACAGTAGGCATTCAATAAATATTTGTTTAATACATGAATTAATGCTAACATGAGAAAAAAACAAGGGTGATGATACTCATACATTAAAAAGTTGAATAAAAGGCAAAAATCAATTAACAAGATAAAGAAGGGCACTATAATAAATGATTAGAACACATGATGAAGATCTAACTACTCCAAATCTTTATGTACCAAATAACAGAGCATCAAAATTTCTAAAGCACAAAAATTTTTAAATTTACTTCATTTAAATATTTTTTTATTTCTACAGTAAAAAAAAAGTGTCTAAAGCAAGACAAGGGGATGTAAAGTACAGTATAGGGAATATTAGTCAATAATATTATAATAACTATGTATGGTGCCAGGAGGGTACTAGACTTTTCTGGGTGATCACTTTATAAGTGATATAAATTTCTAATCACTATGTTGTACACCTGAAACTAAAATAATATGGTATGTCATCTATAGCTAAAAAAATAAAAATTAAAAAAATTCTAAGACAAAATGTATAGGCAATGCAAAGGTAGAAAAAAAAGAAACAGAATATGACACTCCTTCAGCTGATGACAGATTTGACAGTCAAAAGCTAAGATAATGGAAAAATCTAAATTTATTCATACACTAAAAACAGACTATTTTTTAAGGGCTCATTGAACATTTTTTAAACTGACAATATATTAAGCTAAAAAGTGGAAGTAGTACAGAGTACAGTATTTAATCACAATACAGCAACACTCAAAATCTATAATAATAAAAGTGTAATATGCTATTTAGACCGAACAGCCAAATGACCTTCCAGATGTCATTCTGGAAGACTTGAATGAAGCCACCATACAGGGGCAGAGGCAAAGGTGGTTAGGGGCGATCAGGCAGGCAGGCAGGCAGGCAGGCAGGCAGATGAGTGGTGTCCAATTGCGAGAGGGATGTCCAAGTGCCAGTTTAAGCCTGATCCCACAGGCGTCCTGGATTTCAAGAGGGTGCAGGCCAGGCTGAGGGACCCCTACGCCCCCTCTGCCCCACCTCGTGAATGAATTTCATGCATCAGGCCTCTACTTAATAACAAAAATGAAAAATAAAAGGGAAAACATTCTCGAGGCTAATAAAAGAGGAGATCTAATCTGAAACTATACAATATGTAGAAAATAACAATGAAAATATTAGAAGCTAGAGAATATAGTTGATTAAAACAGTGGTAAAAGGGAAAATTGTAGCCTTAAATAATTATAGCAATACATAAGAATAAATTAAAATAAATGAATTAAGCATTCAACAAAAGAAATTAAGAAAACCACCACAAAAAATAGACTTAAGGAAAGCAGAAAGAAAACTAATGGTACCAATCAATACACTACAAAATAAATGATAGTACAAATAATTAAAGCTAAAAGCTAATTCTTAAAAAGAAAATTAAAATAAGACAGATAAGCCACTTGCAAATCTAATTTTAAAACGCAAGTGCACAGAATGAGAAGAATGAGAATATCTAAACCCACCAGTTACCATAGAAGAACATTGATAAATTTGACCAAAAATAAAAAAATATACTCAGATGGTCTTGTGTTGATTCTAACCTTCAAGAAACAGACAAGCCCAATGC